AGTAGCTGGGACTACAGGCATGTGCCACCATGCCTGGCTAATTTTTTCTGTATATTAGTTGTCCAGCTAATTTCTTTCCATTTTGTAGTAGAGACGGGGTCTCGCTCTTGCTCAGGCTAGTCACAAACTCCTGACCTCGAGCGATCCTCCTGCCTCAGCCTCCCAGAGTGTTAGGATTACAGGCGTGAGCCACCGCACCTGGCCACATATTTTTAATTTTAAATAGATATTTTCAACAAGAGGGTAGCACTTCATTTCCCCATACCCATGCTAATATCAGATGTTATTGATCTCTGGTAATTTTGCCAACCTGAGTGAAAAATGATTATCTTAGTTTTTAATTTGCAATTCCTTGGCTCTAGAGGTTGGGGATCTTTTAAAATCTTTATTGGACTTTCGGATTTTCTTTTTTGTCAACTGTCCAGTTTTTCTAAGTTGGTTGTTTTTGTTTTTGTTTTTGAGACAGGGTCTCACTCTGTTGCCTGGGCTAGAGTGCAGTGGTATCATCACAGATCACAGCAACCTCAAACTCCTGGGCTCAAGCAATCCTCTTGCCTCAGCCTCCAGAGTACCTGGGACTATAGAAATGTGCCATCATGCCCAGCTAATTTTTCTATTTTTTGTAGAGACAGGTCTCACTATGTTGCTCAGGCTTGTCTCAAACTCCTGGCCTCAAGTGAGCCTCCCACCTCAGCCTCCCAAAGTGTTAGCATTCCAGGCATAAGCCACTGCACCCAGCCAGTTAAATTTCACGTTTATGTAAGTGCCTTGAAATCTGGTGAAATGGTTTCCTTTGGAAATTCACCACATTTTGTTTTGAATGCTTTGTCTACCATATGAAATCACTTTTATAAATATAGTAACTCAAATCTGGATGTCACCATCATGAGCAAAAGAAGTCCATCTATGTTTTCTTTGAGAACATAATTGCTTCAGGTTCATTTTTGTTGAGGAAACAAGTCCTGATAAATAGAAATATTTTGTTCAACAAAGAATGTGCCATTTAAAATTCATTAAAACTAATTCCAACTTGAAAGCATTATGCTAAGGAAAAGAGGCCAGACACAAAAGGCCACATATTGTATGATTCTATTTAAATGAAATATCTAGAATAAGAAAATGTGTAGAGACAGAAAGTAGATTAGTGGTTGCCAGGGGATGGGGCAGTGGAGAGAATGGGGAGTGACTGCTAAAGGGGATTTGGGGGCAGGGGGTGAGGCAATGAAAATGTTCTGGAATTAGCAGTGATGGTTGCACAATCTTGTGAATATACTAAAAATCATTGAATTGTATGCCTTAAAATGATGAATTTTATAGTATGTCAATTATATCTTAAAAAATAAATAAAAAGAAAAAGACACCTGGTTCCATATTTTGTTTAAATTTCCACATCAAATGCTTTGTGAAAATTTTTATGAGTGAAAAAATCTGAGTTTTTAAAAAATATTTTTTTGTCTTTTAAATTATCTTGTGACAATTTAACTTTTTGACATATAAAGTTGTATCTAATTAAGGTATACAAGTTGAGGTGTTTTTTAAAAAACATAAATTTCTCACACAGAGTACAACTAGATGTTTTGATATGCACCGTGAAATGATCTCCACGTTCCATCCAGGTAAATAATCTAGTACGCCTCAGTGTAATTACCGTTTTTGTACCCTTGACCAACATCACCCATTCTCCCTTCCCTCCATATAGATTTCTTTTATTTTTTAATTTATGTATATATATATTTTTTTTATTTTTTTACAATTTGAGACAGAGTCTGGCTTTGTCGTGCAGCTGGGGTGCAGTGGTGTCATCGTAGCTGACTGAAACCTCAAACTCCTGGGCTCCAGCGATCCTCCTGCCTCAGGCTCCCTGGTACCTAGGACTACTGGCGAGCGCCACAAAGCCGGGCTCTTTCCTACTTTTTGTAAAGACGGAGTTTCACTTTTGCTCAGGCTGGTCTGGAACTCCGGAGCTCAAGGGATGTTCTGGCCTCGGCCTCCCAGAGTGCTTGGATTAGGGGCGTGAGCGACCCGCCTGGCCTAGATTTCTTACATACTGAATATAAGCCAGAAATATTTAGGGGGAAGCCCTCAAACTTCCTTTGGTGGACTTGAAAAAAAAAATTACAATATGTACATGGAAACCATTTGGGAACCCTCGATGCTAAATAAAGAAAACCAGAAAAGTAAATTGTAAGGTCCTACCAGGAACTTAACACCTGCTTGATTTATGTAAAGACATACATGGGGGCCGGGTGCGGTGGCTCATGCCTGTAATCCTAGCTCTCTGGGAGGCCGAGGCAGGCGGATTGTTTGAGCTCAGGAGTTC